ATTCTGTGACTGGGTGGCCTAATCCTGCCGTTGCTTTTTACATTGTTAGAGCAACGTACAAAACCTACAATATTCTCCTGCCCTGGGTGAAACATTTAATCCTGATTTCTTTTGCATCTTCATTCCTTTACTGTAGTTGTTGGAAGAGATTATCTTTCTCCTGTCTCTCAGAAGATCCAAACAGTAAATAATTCTTATTTTAGATGGTTTTAGTTGTTGACAGTCTTGGCCCAGCTATCTGTTCATGCATTCCAACTCCCAGCAGTTCAACACACACCAGCAATGGGATGTCTACTGGTTTATTTACTTCAGTTCAAGTCAAGCCATTTAACCCTGTCAGTAGAGCCATTGGTTGTTATGCCGTGATTGTAACTCCATTAATACTAAGACTCGTAATTATATATGTCACACAATTGATTTTAAACCAATTTTCCAATGTGATGAAACAAGCATGCTAAAAATTGCATGTAAAATTAATATTAAACAAATAGGGCCTTCACTTAAAGGGGATTGTCATCTCATAGGTCTATACAATTCATTGTAAATGGACCCCCACACTGTGTTTCCCAACTGGGTTCTTTTAATCATGTACTTCAACATACAAGGTGTGTGTGATCAACTACTGCACCAAAGCACCCTCCCTACCTCCCACCAAACAACCCCAAACTGCAGCAATCATGAGGTGATGGGTTGGACAAACCCTGTTCTCAGGCCCAATGTGAGGGTCAGATTAAATATTTGGCCTGGTATTATATTCCACAACATGTGCAGTTGTGACAATAGAAGAAAATAATTTTGGTTTTGTTCACCCCAGTCTGCAGGTGCAAATGGTCCTGCAGTTTTCTTTTTGTTCTTTTGTGGGACATGGGCATTGCTGGCTAGACCATTTACCGCCCATCCCTAGCTGCCCTTGAGAAGGTGGTATTGAGCTGCCTTCTTGAACCGCTGTAGTCCATGTGCTGTAGGTTGACCCACAATCCCATTCAGGAGGGAGTTTCAGGATTTTGACCCAGTGGCACTGAGGGAACGGCAATATATTTCCAAGTCAGGATGGTGAGTGGCTTTGAGGGGAACTTGCAGGGGGTGGTGTTCCATGCATCTGCTGCAGCTGTCCTTCTAGATGGTAGTGGTCATGAGTTTGGAAGGTGCTGTCTTAAGGACCTTTGGTGAGTTTCTGCAGTGCATCTTGTAGACAGCACATGCTGCTGCTCCTGAGTGTCGGTGGTGGAGGGAGTGGATGTTTGTGGATGTAGTGCCAATCAAGCGGCTGCTATGTCCTGGATGGTGTCGGGCTTCTTGAGTGTTGTTGGGGCTGCATCCATCCAGGCAAGTGGGGAGTATTCCATCACACTCCTGACTCGTGCCTTGTAGATGGTGGACAGGCTTTGGGGGAGTCAGGAGGTGAGTCACTCTCTGTAGGATTCCCAGTCTCTGACCTGCTCCTGTAGCCGCAGTACTTATGTGCCTAGTCCAGTTCAGTTTCTGGTTAATAGTAACCCCCAGGATGTTGATAGTGAGGGATTCAGCAATGGTAACGTCACTGAATGTCAAGGGATGAAGGTCAGATAATCTCTTATTGGAAGCAATTATTACCACGCACTTGTGTGGCACAAATGTTACATGCCACTTCTCAGACCAGCCATGGATATTGTTCAGATATAGTTGTATTTGCTTCAGTATCCGAGGTAATTGTGCAATCATCGGCAAACATCCCCACTTCTGACCGTATGATGTAGGGAAGGTCATTGAAGAACTCGCTAAAGATGGTTGGGCTTCTGACATTACACTGAGGGCTCTTAGTGTCCTTAGCACTGAGCCAAAAGGCCTGGGTTCAAGTCCCACCTGCTCTAGAGGTGTGTCAGAACATCTCTGAACAGGTTAATTAGAAAATATCTACCCTGAGGAACCCTTGCAAAGATGTCCTGGAGCTGAGATGACCAACCTCCAACAACAACAACCATCTTCCTGTGTGCCAGGTATGAGGCCATTTATGTGTGGAACCGTAAGAGATGGGTGTGATATTAAACTAATAGTTTGCATCAGTACTTATGGCGGAGAAAAACATGGAAGCTAAGGAACTTGGATAAATAAATAGTGATGTCTTGAAAAATGTCCATATTACAGAGAAGGAGGTGCTGGAGGTCTTAAAATGCATAAAGGTAGATAAATCCCCAGGACCTGATCAGGTACATCCCAGAACTTTGTAGGAAGCTAGGGAGGAGATCACTGGGCCCCTTGCTGAGATATTTGTATCATCAACAGTCATGGGGTGAGATGCCAGAAGACTGGAGGATGGCTAATGTGATAAGAAAGGTGGTAAGAAAAAGCCAAGGAACTATACACCAGTGAGCCTGATGTCAGTGGTGGATAACTTGTTGAAGGGGATTCTAAGGGACAGGAGTTATGTGCATTTGGAACTGATTAGGAATAGTCGACACGGCTTCATGCATGGGAAATCGTGTCTCACTTCCTTGATTGAGTTTTTTGGAAAAGTGACAAAAGTGAATTGATAAAAGCAGAGTGGTGGATATTGTCGACATGAACGTCAACAAGATCCTGCATGGTAGCCTTGTTAGCAAGGTTAGATCACATGGAATCCAGGGGGGGATAGCCAATTGGAAACAAAATTGGCTTGAAGTTAGGAGACAGAGGGTGGTGGTGGAGGGTTGCTTTTCAGACTGCAGGCCTGTGACCAGCGGTGTCCTGCGAGTATCAGTGCTGGGTCCGCTGCTTTTTGTTATTTATATAAATAATTTGCATGTGAATACAGGAGGAATGTTAGTAAGTTTGTAGATGACACAACAGTGGGTGCTACAGTGGACAGTGAAGAAGATTATCTCAAAGTACGACTGGACCTTGATTAGATGGGCTAGTGGACCAAGGAGTAGCAGATGGATTTTAGTTTAAATAAATGTGAGGTCCTGCATTTTAGTAAGGCAAACCAGGGCAGAACTTATATACTTAATGGTAAGGTCCTGGGGAGTGTTGCTGAACAAAGAGGCCTTGGAGTGCAGGTTCATAGTTCCTTGAAAATGGAGACACAGGTAGACAGGGTGGTGAATCATCATAGAATCCTTACAGTGTGGAAATAGGCCCTTCTGCCCAACAAGTCCACATTGGCCCACAGAGCACCCCACCCAGACCCATCCCCCTAATTCTCACATCTCTGAACACTGTGGGCAATTTAGCATGGCCAATCCACCCTAGCCTCTGCACATCTTTGGACTGTGGGAGGAAACCAGAACACCCGGAGGAAACCCACACAGACACAGGGAGAATGTGCAAACTCCACACAGTCGCCCAAGGGTGGAATCGAACGCAGGTCCCTGGTGCTGTGAGGCAGCAGTGCTAACCACTGAGCCACCGTGCCATCCAAGAGGGTGTTTGGCATGCTTGCCTTCATTGGTCAGTGCATTGAGGATAAGAGCTGGAATGTCATTTTGCAATCATATAGGACATTAGTGAGGCAACTTTTAGAATACTGCATTTATTTCCGGTCTTCCTGCTATAGGAAAGATGTTAAACTTGAGAGGATGCAGAAAATATTTACAAGCATGTTGCCAGGGTCAGAGGGTTTGAGCTATAGGGAGATGCTGAATAGGCTGGGGCTATTTTCCCTGGAGCATCGGAGGCTGAGGAGTGACTTTATAAAAGTTTATAAAACCATGAGGGGCATGGATAGGATGAACAGCCAAGGTATTTTCCCCGGGATGGGGGAGTCCAAAACTAGAGGGTATAGGTTTAAGGTGAGAGGGGAAAGATTTGAAAGGGATCTGAGGGGCAACTTTTTCCCACAGAAGGTGGTGTGTGTATGGAATGAGCTTCCAGAGGAAGTGGTGGAGGCTGGTACAATTATGACATTTAAAAGGTATCTGAATGGGTACATGATTTAGAGGGTTTAGAGGGATTAGAGGGATATAGGCCAAATGCTGGCAAATAGACTATATTAATTTAGGATATCTGATGGGCATGGACGAGTTGGACCGAAGGGTCTGTTTCCGTGCTGTAAAGCTCCGTGACTCCAACCAGCAGAGACTTTTCCTCCCAATTCCTAATGACTCCAGTTTTGCTAAGGTTCCTTATTGCCACACCCAGTCAAATGTGACCTTGAGTTGTTTGACTGTCCACCATCAACAATTTCCATTTTTTAAAATGTTTTATTGAGTTTAAAGTTTTGGCAAAGATCTGTAGCTCGGGTTGTGGGTGAAGTTGTTGACTTGCTCGCCGAGCTGGCTTGTTCTCGTTCAACCTTAATTGACTTTAACTAAGGAATGTTCCTGTGATTGTTAGGGCGACAATGTGAGAGCAGCTATGGGAGCGCATCTTTGTACAGAGTGTGAAGCCAGTGGTAACAGTACATTTTACATCTTCTCTGATTTTACTTTGATTGAAATTATTGGAGAGAGATGTAGAACATGTTTCCAACTTGCTGTCGTTGGTTTCTCACAAGCTCCTGAAATTGAAATTCATCCCATTGAGCTAACAGTGTGCAGAAGCTCAATGATGCAACCAGCAGTCTGCTTTTTCAGGTCATTCTGTGTCCTTTACAGAGTGGAGATCAGCAAACCAGCTTAAACACAATCATTCAAAATAATCCCTGGCAAGAGACAAAGTGGGCTGTGTGGGTGGGATTCCTTCTCACATGCCCCAAACGGATGGACTGCTGTGAAAAGTCTGTCAAGCCTGTAGACCCTGCAATAGACTATAACCAAGTGAAGCACAGGTTAGAGATGAACTGTAACACTACCTCTCAGGCTGTGGGATCACTGATTGGAGACCCGACTCTGCTGGAATGGGTTCCATGAAACACAGTTAACACTTTAATTTGACATTCATTTCATTGGTATTTAGCTGAACAGGGAACACTTTTGGGTGGATTACTGCATACTGTTTTGACAAAATGTGGATGGGAGCTTGGTTTTGGGCATTGGGTTAATTCCACTGCCAAACTCATTGAACACTGAAATTGAAAGAAATCCACAGTGAGCTGCCAGGTCCATATCACCTTTATTGGCCAATGTCAAAATCAATCCCCCAAACTTTAACGCATGCACTTTAGACAATGCTGAAGGCTCTTGTGGCACAGCGGTAGTGTTCCTACCTCTAGGCTAGAAGGTCCAGGTTCAAGTCCCACCTGCCATGGATGGCAAACAGGTTGATTGAAAGCATCATTTTTAAAAATGACACAGAAGAGTCTGACTGATCGAATTGCTCAAAGTCTTAAATCGAGAGTAGGGAGTAAGCTAATTCCAAAGAGAGGATTATGCTGTGTATCGCTCCATGTCATCAGGGTGTGAGAATCGCTTGGAGTGTCACACTTGCAAGGTGCTGCAGGCATTCTGAGTGCAGAATTCAAGGATTTCTGTTGAACAACGAGTACAGAAATTCTCAATGAGATTTTGTCAATGCTGTTACGTTTGATGCACTTCCTATATAGCCATGTGTGTGACTATATAAGGGAAAGGATTACCTGATGCTGTGCAACTGAAGACCGATTCTGCCAAATTAAAGAATTCTTCGCCCAAGATGCTCATGTAGTTGAGGTGAGTTGCACGAGTCAAACATTTTGTGGAGTCTTTAAAAAGCAGGTCCCTTTCCCCATATTTATGGGACTGGAAAAGCTGAAATTCAGAGTCTGAGCTCGCTCCAAAATGTTCCTGTTAATTGAAAAGTAACCATGAAGTCATGTTTCAAAAGGGAAAGAAAGAAGATGGTAATGCATTAGGGCCAGCATGGTGCCCATAGGTTCTGTACATTAGAGCAGAGCTAGTCCTGGTGAAGATTTCCTATTGTTTATCTCATCTGTCATCTCCTTAAGTATCCTTCTCGTGAAATATCCTGCCTCTGACTTCGTACTGATACCTCATGACTCAAGAAAGCCAATGGGCTTAAAACTTTGAGTACTACAATTAATTTCTCTCAGTGGTAACTCTCTAAGTCAAAAAGTTATGACTTTAGGCCCCATTTCAGGATTAATCTGGACTGTACAGAACAGAGGGAATAGTGCTGCCTTTCACTGTGACTCATGTTCATGTTGCCTGACTCACTGAGATTTTAAGAACACAAACTGTTAAATGTTTTGCACACATTTTTTGGGAACTAGATATAATTTTATAAAATGCTGTCTTTAGCTGGGAGGACAGAATGGACCATCTGGGTGGAACTGTAATCAGGAAGACTCTTTACAACAAAATGATCTGTGATATACCCATCAGAAGCTGACACAGAGCCTAAACACACCAGCTTTATAGGCATGTCTACTTATGTTAACCTCCTTCCTGCTTTCCTACTCCCTGATTCATCAGATGATTTTGCACAGAATCCCTACAGTATGGAAACAGGCCATTCAGCCCAACAAAGTTCACACCAACACTCTGAAGAGCATCCCATCCAGACCCAACCCCCCACCCTAACCCTGCATTTCCCATGGCTAACCCACCTACACCCCTGAACACTATGGGCAATTTCCCACAGCCAATCCACCTAACCTACAGATTGTTGGACTGTGGGAGGAAACCAGAGCACCTGGAAAAGGAGAATGTACAAACTCCACACAGACAGTCACCCGAGGGTGGAATCGAACCCAGGGCCCTGGTGCTGTGAGGTAGCAGTGCTAACCACTGAGCCACCATGGTCAGTTTGATGTGATCTTGTGAACACATCTCCCTAATCTCTAAACAGAGTCACAGAGGAATCCACCTGTGAAGAATTTCAGGTGTCCAAGATGATGTGCGCACTCCTTCCTCAAAGGGTGCTCAGAGAGATTCAGCACAGCTTTCCAAAAGCCTAGTTTTAGCTGCTACAAAAGTATCAAAGATTACTGGTCAATTCTGGCTAATGATTCAGGGATGAGCTACTTCAGTTTTGAAGATAGGTTGGAGAAGTTGGGACTTCTCTTGGAGAGCAGAAGATTGGAGGAGATTTGATAGAGGTTTTCAAAATCATGAGGGGCCTGGACAGAGTAGATAGGGAGAAGCTGTTCCTGCGCGCAGAAGTATAGAAAACTAGACGGCATAGATTTAAAGCGATGTGCCAACAAAAAAAAACATATTCACATGGCGAATGGTTCAATTCTGGAATGCCCCACGGGGTAGTGTGGTACAGGTGGGTTCAAGTGATGTATTCAAGAGGCCAGGGATAGAAACAATGCGTAAGTATATGGTAAAAGGCAGGAGATTGGCTCATTTGGAGAGTCAGTGTTAGCATGATGGGCCAAAAGGCCTCCTTCTACACCGTAACAATCTTTTGATTCTATGACTGCCATATTTTCACCAGCAGATGCATGAGCAGATCATTGGTGAGCTGGTTGCTGCCAGGACCTTTATGGTATTACTTATAATACGGTGACTCAGTGGTTAGCACTGCTGCCTCATAGCATCTGGGACCTGGGTTCGATTCCACCCTCTGTGTGGAGTTTGCACGTTCTCCCCTTGTCTGCTTTGGTTTCCTCTGGGTGCTCCGGTTTCCTCCCACAGTCCAAAAATGTTCAGGTCAGCGTGGATTGGCCATGCTAAATTGCTTATACAGGCCAGGGGAATGTGCAGGCTAGGTAGATTAGCCATAGGAAATACAAAGATAAGGTAGGGGAATGGGTCTGGGTGGGATGCTCTTCAGAGGGTCGGCATGGACTTGATGGGCCAAGGGATTCTATGAGTTACTGCAAAATCTGAAGGCAAATGGGAAGGTTCCCAGTGACAGGATTGTCCATCGAGGAATAACTAATGGGCCCTGGTCAATTGTCAACATTTCTTTTGAGTAATGTAGACATATTTGGTGAAGGTATAAAGCTCTGAAATCTGCTGTGCATTTAAATTGCCCACAGATACCACCCAGTTACTTTGCTGAAGAAAAATCTGAACATGGTACACTGCTCACAGGAATGAAAATATGATTCATGCAACAGAAGCTGAAAATGCTGGAAATACTCAACGTACTCATGGTCAGGCATTAGAAACAGAGCTTTAACATTACTGAACAGGCAGGTGGAACCTCTATTTAACAATGTTTATTGAAATGCAGCACTCCCTCTGCCTGCTCTTTAGCTTCTCTCTGGGAAAGTGGTGGAATCAGCTCAGCTCCAGCTGGGAAAATAGAGGCCATTCGCCGGTATTGCTATTAAATTGCACCTTTGGAATTGTCTTATCATTCCTTCTGGAGATTTATCGTATCTACATTAGGGTGTTGTGCCCTGGCAACAGCATTGTGGCTGAGGGTGAGCTAGCAATTAGAATTCAATTCTGCTCTAAACAGAATCCTTGTCCTTGCTATATCCCATCGGCTAGTCTGTAGCAGCTTCTGATCCACAGTCGTGAGGAAAGCAGACAGTTTCTCACTTTGTGCTGAGCTAGCCATCGGAGACAAGGAATTGCAGCCAAGGTGGGGACAATGAGGAGAAGCCAGCATAAGGAAATCAAGGAACAAAGTTACATTTTTCTGCACTAGGGTGAGGTGTTGTGTTATTCTTCCATATCTCTCCACCCCTGGTGTCCTCTGCCAGTGTTGCCCCCTTTGACGTTTTTGATTTGAACCTTACAAACGTGAGCTTATTTCTTTCCTTCGCGACAGTGGTAGGCACTGCAAGAGTAATACACACCACTGAAAAGACACAGACCTGTGATTTCATCAGGAATTCGTGGATTTTGGTGGCAATGACAGACCTTGTCATCACGATGTTTGGAGGGATGGAGCCCAGGTTGCATCTTTCCCACTCGGTGAGTGGAGCACGTTCACCACCTGGACACAGCAACTCAAAGTGGTCGGGACTCCACCCATCAGCCCAATCACTCAGACCTGCACAAGGGATAATCAATGGAGCTCATGAACACTTTCAATTTATATGGTTTCCTTTGAAAGTCCGAGAAAACATTAAAGTATTGTAACTCGGTATGCATTTACTGTGAACACATTAACCAATCCAGTTCACATTGAATCTCAGCAGGTCATTCAGCCCGGCGTGTCAGTTTACTGATGTCCTTTAGGGAAGGAAATCAGTCCTTACCCAATCTGACCAACATGTGACTTACCTACAGCAACATAGTTGAGACCAACTCTATCCCTCTAAAATGGTCTGGCAAGCAATTCATTTAGATCAAAAAACTATAGTAAAGTCAAATATTAAAAATGATAGGACTTGCAACCTCCTATTGACCAGAACACTGGAAATAACAAAGGAATACCATGCCCAGTTCATCCTTTGTAGTCCTCCTAATAACACCTGGGAAGTTGTGGTGAAATTTGCGAGAGGTGTCCCACTGGTAAAGCAATAACCTGAGCCTTCCCAAATTATGGAGACAGTAAGGACTACAGATACTGGAAGCTAGAGTCATTAAATGTGGAGCTGGAAAAGCATAGCTGGTCAGACAGCATCTGAGGAGCAGGAAAGTCAATGTTTTAGGCTAAAACCCTTCATCAGAACTGGGGTTTCAGCCGGAAACACTGATTTTCCTGCTCCTTAGATGCTGTCTGACCAGCTATGCTTTTCCAGCACCACATTTATTGGCCCCCCTCCCAAATCATTCTTTACAGCCAATATCCCTCCATCATCTTTCCTGACTGTCCTGTCCAATCAGCAGGACTGACCCACCACAAGTAACCTGGTTCAATAGCACATGTAGAAACATAGAAGGTAGGACCGAGAGTAGGACATTCAGCCCCTCGAGCCTGCTCCACCATTCATTATGATCATGGCTGATCTTAAGGCTCAATACCCTAATCCCACCCTCACCCATCCCTCCCAATATCCCTTGATCCCTTTAGCCACAACAGCTACCCCTACCACCGTCTTGAAAACACATAATGTTTTGGCCTCAACTGCTTTCTGTGCTAGTGAATTCCACAGGCTCACCGCTCTCTGGGTTAAAAAAAACCTCTCTTCATCCCTGATCCTTAAATTATGACTCCTGGTTCTGGAGTCTCCCACTATCAGAACATCCTTCCTGCATCTACAATGTCTAATCCTATTAGAATTTTATAGGTTTCTATGAGACCCACCCTGCAGTATCATGTCTGAATCTTTCACCATCAACATCCTGGTGTTACCATTGACCAGAAACTAAACTTGACCACCGATATAAATACTGTGGCTACAAGACCAGGTCAAAAGCTGGGAATTTTGAACCCAATAAATCAACTCCTGATTCCTCTAATAGCCAGTTTACCATCTACGAGTCACAGGTCAACATGGAATACTCTCCATATACCATGAATGAGTAGAGCTCTGATAACACTCAAAAAGTTTGACACCATCCAGGACATTGCTTGATTGGCACCGCTTGCATCAACTTCAATGTTCACTGCCACTGACAACAGAAGGAACATCACACTTGAAAACAGGATTAGGCCATTTGGCCCTTTAAGTCTGCTATCCGACTCAGTAGATTATGGCTGATCTGATTATGGTCTCGACCCAACTTTCCTGCTTGCAGTTCATAACCCTTAATCCCTTCTCTATTAAAAATCCATTTTGGGAACACATGATTTAGATACGGTGTACATATCAACCAGATGTCACAACAGAACCTTCAAAAACTGGGAGATTTTGGAAGAACAAAGGCTTCAGATGCACGAATGTACCAGTACCTGCCAAGTGCTCCTCCAAGTCACATATCATCCTGAAATATCATCATTCCTTCAGTGTCACTGGGTCAGACTCCTGGAATTCTGTCTTTAACATCATTGTGAGAGTATATCCACTACATGGACTGCAGCGGTTCAAGAAGGCAGCTGGCCACCACCACCTCTGGGCAACCATGGATGGGCAATGAATGCCAATCATGCGAATGTGGCCAAGTGGCCAACAGCCTAAACAACTAGGCCCAACACAAAATTGGCTAAACAGTTTCTGCAAGCAATGCCTGATGGAATGCAAAGAGGCCAAGGTTACCACAGGTCAACAAAGACCAGCTGAGATCTGACTTGCTCATTGAAAGGAGTGTGCAAAACTCATTAAGAGGTTCCCTGCTAGGCAGAGACATTACATTTGCACATTCCCCAGTTTCAGACAGACCTGTTGGCACAGTGGATCAATCATATCTTCGAAAGGAGATGGGTACACCTAGGATAACCTGGCCTAACCTCATTGGGCACTGGGTCCCCTGCTCAGTGACCCCATTGGCTGAAGGCAAAGAACATTCGAGAAGGGCTCAGAAAGGAGGGAATAAGAAGGGATACCTGGCAGCCATTCGTTCATCGAAGACACTGCCGGTGAAGACATTGTGCAGGATCCACCTTTGTACTATGAAGACCCGAAAGCACCCATCGATGGAGCTCAGTGAATTCTCAGTCAAGTTCATCAGAGCAGGCAGTTAGCCTGGTTTTGGAAAAGTTAACTTAATTTGTATAAGAGTTGTTTTCTTTAACTTGCGAGTGTTTTAATAAAGCTAAGATTGAACCACAGAACTTTGTTTGTCTGATACAGTAAGAGCACCATGGTATAGGTGTTTTATAAGTAATAAACTGGTCAAAGTGTCTGTATAGAATATTTCACAGGCAACACCAACAACACCACAAACAAACAGACTAAGAATTGAAGTCGGAGCAGTAGGCCATTTGACCCCTTAAACCTGCTCTGCCATTTTCATTAGCTCGTGTTTGAGCTGACCACGACCCTACTTTCTACCCATCTCTGATACCCCTTGCCACTCTTGTTTGTCAAGAATCTATCTCGCCCATCCACCTTTCAAATCCCTCAGAATCTTACTTATTTCCATGAGGTCACCCTTCATTCTTCTGAAGTGCACTAGGTATAGATCTAACCTGTCCAATCTCTCCTCATAAGGTAACTCCCCATCCCAGGAATCATTCAAGTGAACCTGCTTCTAATCTAATTATACCCTTTACTAAATAATAAGGCCGAAACTATCTACATCCCATGACTGCATTTTGTAACTCATTGTTTGAAAGATCTATCCAATTACTTTTCCCTGTACCATTCTCCATAGTTCTATAAATTTTGATTTTCAAGTATCTTATGTGATGATACTTTGGCTTTAAAAGTTGCATTTTGTCCTTTTTTTTAAAGATGAGAGGTTGAGACAGAGGCACTGAGCAGTCTGTTCAAAGCCAATAAAGTAAACAGTTGGTGAGGCCTTGGGTTTTTTTTTAAGTTGGAACAATAGAAGCAGCCTGAATAGGTGCAGTAGACTCCCACAGAAGCAGGGTTTTAGGTTAGCTTTCAATAGTTGCTGGGGTCTTGAAGCCAGTGTGCAAGCTCTTGTTCCTCTCTCTGTTACAGCTAAAAGCTGGAGTTCTCTCTGTTGTGAGAATTACATATGAGACAACCTATTTTACTGAATTTGCATTATCAAAGAGGCATTTATGGGATGTTGCTATATTTGAACAGTTACTGTTTTACAATTAAATAATCTATTATTCGGTAAAGTTTTCCAACAGGCTTAACTTATCTCAATTCTTGTTTCTTTTGTTTGTATTTTAACTATAGGGTAAGAATAAAGTGTGTTTTGCTTAAAGCAATGTAATGTAACCAATTGAATTATATCTGGTATACAGTATCTTACACTTGCCTTTAAATAAAAGTTAGGGTCTTGTCTACCTCCTTGTTATATTTGAACGGGTTTTGGTCTGGTCCATTACACTTAAGTTTTTTTCTCTTTTCAGGCAGCACATACCAATCTTCAGGTTATGCAAGGAGATAATTACATTTCTCAAAGTTCAAAATTGTTCATTTTGGCCCAAGTCCCTAACATCAAGACTTGCCACACCATGACTGTAGGATCATAAATCTTCACTGATTTCTAATCAATTCACAGTGAATACAGTATATTCTTTGCCCGCAGTCCATATCAAAATGTCATAAACTTACTCTCTATGTTTTCCATTAAGTTATGGTGCTCAAGGAAGGCAACATCTCCAAAGCTTTTCCCACTGCGATTCCCGACTAAGCACCTGGAAAAGCAGCACACATATCACAGAGCAATAGCAATCATTTTCCTTTGGAATTTCGGTAATATAAATACATTATTTAACCCTGACAAAATATCGAGAAGTTACAGTTACGCAGCACCTTTAAATGAAATGCACCAAGGCAGCTCACGGCATTATAAAAGGAATTGAAGGCACTGAGCTACTTAAGAAAAAGTTGGGTCAAATGGTTAAAAACCTGGGAAAAGTGGGCTTTCAGAAGTGTCTTAAAGGACAAAAAAAGGTGGAGGAGAGGCAGGGAGGTATAGGGAGGGTATTCCAGGGCTCTGAGCTCAGACAATTGAAGGGATGGCTATTCATAAAACAAAATTGTAAATGCATAAGTTGCCAGAATTAGAGAAGGTCAAATTTCAGAAGGTTATGGAGCTGGAGGAGGTGACAAAGTTAGGGAAGGAGGAGGCTGTGGAGGGATTTGAAATTAAGGATGAGAATTATAAAATCAAGACATTGCTTGACCAGGCACCAGTGTGGGTCAGCAAGGCCAGGGGTGTGTGAAAAGCAAATAGAACTTGCTTTGAGTTAAAACACAAGCAGCGAAGTTTTAGATATTCTCAGATTTACAGAGGGTAGAATGTGGAAGTCCAGTCAAGTGTGCTTTGAATAGTCATGTCTAGTAGTAACACGGACGAGGCTTTCAGCAGTAGTTCAGCTAAGATGAGACAAATATCACAGAGGTGGAAATAGGCGATGTTAATGATGGTACAAATGTGAGGTTGGGAGCTCATCCCAGGATCAAAAATCACACCAAGATTGTGAAAAATTGGCTTCATCTCAAATCTGTTGCTAGGAAAGGGATGGAGTCAACAGTTTAGTTGAATTACTTATGATTAGATGAAAGTGTTCCCAGGGCATATGAATAACAATTCAGCAACTTTTTGCATTCCCAACCCTAAAGTATTCCAGTTGATAATCCTTTTAGGGTTCCTTCTAACTATTTAGTGCACCATATTTTTCACACATTTTTCTCAACCCAATCTGCTTGCCCCATCATTTCTTAAAAAAGCTTTAAATACATACCAATTCCCCTGTGTGCTTTTTTGGGGTTAAAAAAAGGAGGAAGTGCTGCTTCACTTGTACATTTGGACACTGGAACAGAGCTTTCAAGGCTGAGACCAATAGACTTTTGTTAGGCAGAGTATCTAATAACATGAAGAAAAAATGGACACTTGGCAGAAAAAGGCAAGATCACAGTGGCTCAGTGGTTAGCACTGCTGCCTCACAGCACCAGGGACCCAGGTTTGATTCCACCCTCAGGCGACTGTCTGTGTGGAGTTTGCACATTCTCCCTGTGTCTGCGTGGGTTTCCTCCGGGTGCTCTGGTTCCCTCCCACAGTCCAAAGATGTGCAGGTTAGGTGGATTGGCCATGCTAAATTGCTCATAGTGTTCAGGGATGTGTAGATTAGGTGGGTTTAATAGCGGAATGGGTCTGGGTGGGATGCTGTTTGGACTGGTTGGGCCGAAGGGCCTGTTTCCACACTGTAGGGATTCTATGATTCTAATTGAATTGCAGAATGCAGAACAGATTAGAGAAGTTGAATCCGATTTCTATGTTGGTTTCTCAATTAATGCTCTCTGAGGTTTGTTTGTGATGCTCCATGTCTTCTTCCATTGTGTATTACAATTCCTGGACTCACTGTCAACATTCAATCAAGAATCACTGTGAAAGTCCATTTTACCTTTGTTCTCAGTTTCTCTGCACTCCAAAAGTTCTTTGGGCCTGAGATTCCACGAGTGCCCATAGCCTCATCTATCAATCATTCATGGATGAGCTAAAGCAATGGGGTTCAGGAACTGGGGAGGCAATATAGCCGAGAGTGTATGTGAACTCTCTAAAAGGCTGTTTTAAGGTTGGGGCAGTGGGGCTTAATGATGGGGAATTCTGTTTGATTTTTTTCTTCCTGATGTGTGGCGCTGAGGCCAAAAGTAACCCACAAACTGCTGTTACAGCTGAGATTGGGACATACAGGGATCAGCTTTGGGACTCCCCAGTGCTGAGTGGTATATTCACGTAACATGAACACTTAGAAAAGGTAACTTGCACTTGCATAATACCTTTCACAATCTCAGCACATCCAAATATGCTTCTGACCAGATGAATAACATAACGCAGATAACATTTCTCTGTTTATATGGTCTAACACTTACCGCAAGGCACCCATATTGCCATAGTAAAGTTCGTCATGGTTCGCTGCACACCTTTGATTAAATAATTTCATCCCAGCTTGCTCTCTTCCAATGCAGACTTTACAAAGATTCCCTTTAAAATTCATTCCAGGCATACAGCCTTTGCGGAAATAGTTTATAAATGCTAGAAATCAGAGGGAGAGAAAGATACTAACTTAACATGCAATGTTCATTACTTTCTGGTCACATCACGGGGTCAAAGTGCATTGGACGGGTTGAAAACCCAGTGGCTGGACTGGATCTGGAGGTCCTACCCAGATCGCACCCCATCCCACTTCTCCAGTGAAGGAAGGGAGGAAGGACAGGAACCTCCACGCTGCTAGCCAGAAGTGTTGGCACCATTGTCAAAATGAAAATTCACCAATTTCAGAAAATCTGCAATTTTCAGCGAGACAGAACAATGTTGGAATCCTTTCTAAATCTCATCTGGTCAATAGGGTTTTCTAGAGATGAGAACATGGATTGAAGTTCAGGAGAGTCTAAAAGATGACACAACGTTATGTTGAATACTTTACACTTCATCAATAAACACTGCAGCATCAATTAAAGTGAGTTATGACAATGTTGTAATTGAAAAAGGTAGGTGACCCATTTAATAATATGGTTACCAGCTTATTACTTCTGATACCTGCATGTTGTCAAATGAAACAATATGAATTTAAAAATGAAAATAATACATGGCTATTTCGAACATTTGTCAGAAACCTGAGCTTCGGCTGTCTTCAAAAGCACTAATGGATTCTGCTCAGTGAGATTTGTTTACACAGCTGTTCAGGGAGTATCAGTTTGAACATTTGCTGTTTTCTAAACAACTAATTGATCCTGCCAGCAGGATGAGCTTATAAAATTATCCAATGGAATATCAGCTTGTTGATATTCAGAGATTCAGAAGCTTCTAAACAGCATAACTGTTTCAAAGTGGATATCAAGTTATGTTTGTTCATTTCGACATGTTTATGAGTCCAGAAATGTGCAAGTTAGGTGGTTTGGCCATGCTGAATTGCCTATAGTGTTCAGGAATGTGCAGGCCAGGTGGGTTAGCTATGGGAAAGGGTCGGAGGATTGGTCTGCGTGGGATGCTCTTCAGAGGGTCAGTGTGGACCTCTTGGGCCAAATGGCCTCTTTCTATATTGTAAGGACTCTATGATTCTATGAGATTTTCAAATATTGCCCAATCTTATTATGGGGTTTGTGAGTTCTACTCATACTACATACGGGGTGAGTTGGTTGCGGGAGAGATTGTATGGGTGAGAGGGAGGATTTTGGGTAAGCCTTAGGGGGACCTGTCACAGCTTTGCAGATCTGGCCATATGCCACTGTAAATATCACTGAGCTGCTTCAGTTTCAACAATAAGGGGCTTCAAAGAGTAGAAGGGTCTGTGGTTTTATGAATACAAGTCATTGATTGTGGAAGGGCATAAATGTCAGAGGTTGAGGGGTGACCTTATAGAGGTTTATGAAATCATGAGGAACACAAATAAGGTGAATAGCAAGTGTCTTTTCCCCAGAGTGGGGGATTTCAAAACTAGAGGGCATATTTTTCAGGTGAGAGGAGAAAGATTTAAAAAGGACCCGAAGGGCAACTTTTTCACACAGAGGGTGGTTCGTTATGTAGATTGAACTGGCAGAGGAAGTGGTAGATGCAGGTACAGTAACAATGTTTAAAATACATTTGGATAGGTACGTGAATAGGAAAAGTTTAGAGGGGTATGGGCCAAATGCAGGCAAGTGGGTCTAGTTTAGTTTAGGAAGTTTGGTCAGCATGGATGAGTTGGACTGTATGACTCCATATCACTTGTTCAAATAGGTTGCTTTTGTGTCCAAAGTCCATTATTGTTACTTTTTATTCAGTGACAGGATGTGGATATCGCTGGCTGGCCACCATTTCTTGTCCATCCCTCGTTGCCCTTGAGAAGGTAATGGTGAGCTGCCTTCATGAACCGCTGCAGTCCTCCTGCTGTGGGTTGACCCACAATGCCCTTAGGGAGGGAATTCCAGGATTTTGACCCAGCGACAGTGAAGGAACAGTGATATATTTCCATGTCAGGATGGTGAGTGTCTTGGAGGGGCCTTGCAGGTGGCCCTGTTCCCATGTATCTGCTGCCCCTCGTCCTTCTAGATCAAAGTGGTTTTGGGTTTGGAAGATGCTGTCTAAGAATCTTCTGCTACTGAGCATCGGTGGTGGAGGGAGTGGATGTTTGTGGATGTGGTGCCAATCAAATGGGCTGCTTTGTCCTAGATGCTATCAAGCTTCTTGAGTCTTGTTGGAGCTATACCCATCCAAGAAAGTGAGGAGTATTCCATCCCACCCCTGACTTGAGCCTTGTAGGTAATGGGCAGGCTTTGGGGATTCATGAGATGAGTGACTTGCTGCAGAATTCCTTGCCTTTGATCTGTTCCTGTACCAACAGTGTTTGCATGGTGAGTCCAATTCAGTTTCTGGTCAATGGTAAAGGTTCAGACTGTCCTGTGTAATCATACAAATTAGGAGCAGGAATAGGCCATTTGGTCCTTTGAGTATGTTCCACCATGGTTGATCAGATTGATTTCCATATTCCAACCTGCCCCCAACAAATTCTGACTGCCATCTTTGTCCCAGTTGCCACTAAGTGCAGAATGTCCTCTGAGGCTAAGGAGGTGAATTTCAGATATGGAGCACACTTCTGGTCTCACTCCTCAGCTCCTTCACTGGAAGTCACTCACTGTGAGCAGCAGGGTCTTTGTGATGACTCACACAGTTTGGTAGCCTGTTGTTTCACATTGCAGTATGGGGACGTGGGGTGATGGGGCATGCTGTATCACAGGAGACCTGCCTACCGTCTAAGTGGGGCAACTTCACTTACATCCCTCCTTTTGTCCTGAATTGAACAGTGAGCCTAGAGATGGCTAACACGGAAGCTGCATCCAGTAATATTGCTGAGCAGGACCGTCCGTCAGCAAATGAGAACCCCACCCCAACACTCATCTATTTCGTCCTGATGTCAGGCTCCTCTACTGAAACCCACAGTAAAACCCTGTCAAGTTGTTGATTTTTGACTAACGATCCACCAACCTGTCACTCCTTCCAAAACTTATATGAATTCAATGAACAAAACTGTTCAAGTATAATTAAAAATATTGCTTTTAATACTGTGATGACTTTTCTTCTGGAATCTCTTGCTGAAGTGCTCTGGAGGTTAATCAGCAATTCCGAGCCACTCCAGGGCAATTCCAGCAATACTTTGTGGAAGAATGGCTACTTCCAACACTTCAGTATTCACCCTGCCTCTCTCCCCTGTGCTCAGTGCTGGGTCTCACTTACCCTTATTGATGTTGCAGATGTCAGTGCTGTTTCGGTTAGATCGGATAGTGTATTTTGTTAAGAGAAGCCAGCCTGCTGGGCTGTACAAGTGGCCATGACAGCTTCGCCTTCCCGCTAGATTAAAGATGTTCTCGCCTCGGGAAGCCTTCTTCACCACAGCAATGGCATAGACTGGAGGCAGATCTGCAGCAGGAGCACAACATGAGTTGTACATCACAACATCACAACATGCAGTACAACAGTAAATGGAGTTACCTAATGGAAAACTCTTCATTGTATACAGTGAACATATCAACCTGTTCAGAGATGGTATGACACACCTCTGGAGCAGGTGGGACTTGAACCCAGTCCTCCTGGAAGCTGTTGGTCATACGGTCTGTTGTGGCATGGTGGTAGTATCCCTACCTGTGAGGCAGGAGGCCTGGGTTCAAGTCACACCTGTTCCAGAGATGTGTAATAACATTGCTGAGTAGGTTGGTTGGAAAATAGGATAGAATCCCCACCACTTACACTGACTCACACGTTACAGGGAGTCACTCATACCCATCGCTGTCAATTTTCTATCACCGTGGGTTCAATTAACTTGGTGTCACTTAAAACATATTTAGTGGGCCGAAAGTTTCAGACAGTTCAACTGGCCATTCGCACCTGGTCAAAACCTCCATGATAAGATAGCTCAAATGATGCCCCCTCTCCCGCCTCACCTAGTTGACATTAATGTAATCAGAGGATTTTCAAATTACACCCAAACCTTTAGACATTAAACGCAAATAGAAATTACTGGAAGTAATCCCCAGGTCTGGGAAGGCAGTAGCTGGGGTAATGTTTCAAGCCGAGGACATTTTGTTGTATCTCTCCGTTCCCGTTATACAAAAGCTGCCTGACCTGCCAAATGTTTCCAGCATTTTCTGAACCTACTCCAGATTGCCAGAATGCACAGACTGTTATGTTTGTTTCTGTATATATTGAACTGTTCCTGAGCACTGTACCTTCAGCCTCAAAGTGTGTCTCTCCATGTTTCCCGCTGGCCACTGCACATTTCTTCCCTGGAACATAGAAGGTATATGAGCCATCACGGAGTAACAGGTACATAACACACCACTGGAACATTCAGACGTGATCTATATCTGGTGTGGTCTGTGACATGGACATACTCATTGATGTGTACCACACTTGGCGAATGTTTCATGATAAATGCCACCATTAACTAGGCACCACATCGAGACACTGAAGTTCTTTGGGGCTGCAGAGGGTGGTTTTGCAGCACACTGGGGCATTAAGGCTATGGATCCATTCCTGCAAGTTCCGCCATGTGACCTCCCACCCACAACTGTCTTGTCCCATGTCAAACAGCTTTTTGCCCATTTTTTATAACTAACAAAGAAGCAACACAATGAAAAACAACATGTTTTTGCCGCTAGGGTCTTCTCCCTGGGTTGCTCTCCACACTGTTCTTGAGGTTAACCTTTAGATGGTGGAGGGGGAGGTGTGGGCAGAGTGTGTACAGTTTCCAACTTTAGTGGCTAATTTACATAAGATATACAGCTCAGAAACAGACCATTTGACACAGCCACTCCAAGCTGGGTTTAATGCTGCACTCAAACCCCTACCTGTCGTTCCTCTACCATCTTAAACTTAGACTTGTCTGATTTTCCTTTAAATCCATCTATACTACTCTTTTCAACATTTCCGGAGTTACCCAAGTTCCACATTCTCTACTCTTTGGGAATTCCCCATTAAATTTCTTACATCATTGCCTCTGATTTCAGACTTCAGAGCACCAATGCTGTCAGGTTACTATTTCCTTCACTACCAGACCCTGTAATCTCTCCATTTCCCTCCCACCCATTGATGAAGATATTTAAAATAATGCAAAACGAGGAGGATGTGGAAGTCAATGGATGATCAGGGACTCCACCCAGCGTTCCCTAATATCACCCTCCCTTTGATACCCAGCATTCTCTAATTATCTAGAGAATCATAGAGATGGACAACACAGAAACAGACCCTTCAGTCCAACTTAACCATACCGACCAGATACCCTAAACTGATCTAGTCCCATTTTCCTGCATTAGGCCAATATCCCTCTAAACCCTCCCTATTCATATACCCATACAGATGTCTTTTAAATGTTGTAATTGCACCAGCTTCACCACCCACTCTGGCAGCTCATTCCATGCACACACCACCCTCTGCATGAAAAAGTTGCCCCTCAGGTCCCTTATAAATCTTTCCCCTCTCACCTTAAACCTATGCCCTCTAGTTTTCGACTCCCCTTCCCTGGAAAAAGACCTTGCCTATTCACCCTATCCATGCCCCTCATGACTTTATAAACCTCTATAAGGTCACCCCTCAGCCTCCGATGCTCCAGGGAAGATAGCCCCAGCCTATTCAGCCTCTCCCTATAGTTCAAACCCTCCAATTCGGGCAACATCCTTGTAAATTCTTTCTGCACCATTTCAAGCTCAACAACATCAGGGAGACCAGAATTGAATGCAGTATTCCAAAAGTTCCCCAACTAATGTCCTGTAGAGCGCAACATGACATTTACTCAATGCATTGAATAATGAAGGCGAGCGTGACAAACACCTTCTTCTCTACTGACAGAGCTGGCTCATACATTTTCAAACTTCTCAGAAGCCCTCAATTACCACATCCAAGTGACTATTTTTCAAGGATCCAACCAGTTTTTGAATGTTGATAAGCAATCCCAATCCTGTTTCCTGCCCACATCCACATAGATGTTTTCCAAGTAGGTTCAACTGAATAGGTATCAGTGGCAGAATTAGCTTTCCAAAGCCCCTGAAGCCCGTGGTAACATTTTAAATTGGAAGGTGATAGCATCCTGGTCGAAATTTGGTCATTACATTTATCAGTTGAGGCATTGAGGAGCTTATCCTCCAAACTTCAAGTTTGGAATTACAGATCAAACCAGAAACTGCCCCATTCAGTGCATAAGGAATGGTATAAAATCAGTCCCTGTCTAAATAATGGTTCAACTCAGATATCATCCAATAAACTTGGCATAGTTTGATTCCAGCAAATGTACAGTTCTTACTGAGAAGTCTCACAGTGAGTAGACTTAACTGAATTCAGTCTGAAACATCTTGTAACAGCAACAGACTGTAAGACCATAAGATATCAGAGCAGAATTACGCCATTTTGCCCATTGAGTCTGCTCCACTTTTCAATCATGGCTGATCTGTTTCTCCACCCCATTCTCCTACCTTCTCCCATAACCATTGATACCCTTATTAATCAGGAACCCATCTCTGTCTTAAATACACTCAATGACTTGGCCTCCACAGCCCTCTGTGCAATGAGTTCCACAGATTAACTACCCTCTGGTTGAAGAAATTCCTCCTCAACTCAGTTCTAAAGGGGTCGTCCCTTTACTCTGAGAATGTGCCTTGAGACCTAATCTCTCCCACCAGTGAAAACAACTTCACATCCGCACTATCTAGGCCTCTCAGTATTCTTTAAGTTTCAGTGAGACCCCGCACCCCCCCCCCCCCCCCCACCACCCCCCCCCTCTTCCTAAACTCCCTCGAGTACAAACCCAGAGTCCTCAACTATTCCTCATATGACAAGCCCTTCATCCCTTGGATCATTCTTCAACCTCCTCTGGACCCCCTCCAAGGCCAGTGCATCCTTTCTTGGATACAGGGCTCAAAACTGCTCACAATATTCCAAATGCAGTCTGGCCATAGCCTTATATAACCTCATTAGTAAATCTCTGTTCTTCTACTCTAGCTCTCTCGAAATGAATGCTAACATTGCATTTACCTTCCCAACTGGACCTGCAAGTAAACCTTAAGAGAATCCTGAACTAGGACTCCAAGTCCCTTTATGTTGCAGATTTCCAAAGCCTTTCCCCATTTAGAAAATAGCCTACGCCTCTATTCTTCCTACCAAAAGTGTATAACCTCACACTTTTCCACATTGTATTCAATCCGCGACCTCTTTGCTCACTCTCTTAGCCCGTACAAGCCCTTCTGCAGCCTCCCCACTTCCTCAACACTACCTGTCCTTTGTGTCAACTGCAAACTTAGCAACAATGCCCTCAGCTCATTTGTCCTGGTCATTAATGTATAACGTGAATAGTTGTGGTCACAACACTGACCTCCGCGGAACTCCACTAGTCTCCGACTACCATCCTGAAAAAGACCCCTTTATCCCTATTCTCTGCCTTCTACCAGTCAGCCAATCCTCTATCCATGCCAGTACCTTGCCCCTATCACCATGGGCTCTTATTCAACAGCCTCCTGGGCAGCACCTTGTCAAAGGCTTTCTGGAAATCCAAATAGATCATATCCACCGGCTGTCCTTTGTCTAACTTGCTCATTACTCCCTCAAAGAATTTGAACAGATTTGTCAGGCGTGACTTCCCCTTGATGAAGCCATGCTGACTCAATCCTATTGTACTTCCAAGTATTCCGCAATCTCATCCTTAATAATGGACTCTAAAATCTTACTAATGACTGAAGGCAGGTTAACCAGCTTATAATTTCCTGTCTTCTGCCTCCGTCTTTTCTTAAGCAGAGTGTTACATTAGCCATTTTTCAGTTTTCTGGCACCCTCCCTGATTCCAGTGATTCCTGAAAGATCACCACCAGTGCATCTACAATCTCCTCCGCTATCTCCTTCAGAACCCTGAGGTGCAGTCCATCTGGTCTGGGTGATTTATCCACCATCAGACCTTTCACCTTCCCCAGCACCTTCTCCTTAGTGAGGGCCACCATACTCACCTCTGCCCCTGCATCTCTTGAAGCTGCTGGTATCTTCGGTTGTAAAAACTGATGGAAAGTACCTATTCAGTTCCTCTGTCATCCTTTACTCCCCATTACTACTTCTCCAGCCTCATTTTCCAGTGGTCCAATGTCCTCTCTCGCCTCTCTCTTAGCTTTTAGATATCTGAAAACACACTTGCAACCTTCTTTTGTATTACTAGTTAGCTTACCCTCATATTTCATCTTCTCCCCCTTATTGCTCTTTGAGTCGTCCTTTACTGGTATTTAAAGGTTTCCCAGTCGTCTGGCCTCCCACTGATCTTCACCACATTGTATGCTTTCTCTTTTGCTTCTATGCTATCCCTGACTTTCTTTGTCAGCCATGGTTGCCTCATCCTCCCCTTAGAATGTTTCTTCTTCCTTGGGACTAATTTCTGCTGTGCCTCCCAGATTAACCCCAGAAACTCCTGCCATTGCTTCTTCACCATATTCCCTGGTAGGTTCCCCTTCCCATCAACTCTGGCCAGCTCCTCTCTCATGTCTTTTTAGTTACCTTTACTCAATTGTAATGCAGTTACATTTGATTCCAGCTTCTCCCTCTCAAACTGCAGGGTGAAATCTATCATATTAGGGTCACTGTCCCCCACTGGTTCCTTCACCTTGAATTCCCTAATCAAGTCTGCTTCATTGAAGAATTGCCTGTTCCCCAGTGGGCTCTACCACAAGCTGCTCCAAAAAATCATGGACATTCCATAAATTCCTTTTCTTGAGATCTGCTACCAACCTGATTTTCCCAATTCACCTGCATATTGAAGTCCCCCATGATTATTGTAATAGTGCCTTTTTTACATGCCTTTTCTATCTCCTGATTTATTTTCTGCCCTACATCCTGACAACTGTCAGGAGGCCTGTACACAACACCCAACAGTTTCCTCAACTCTATCCGCACAGATTCTACAGCTTCTGACCCTATATTACTTCTTGCTTTGGATTCAGTGCCTCTTCCTTGGAATGCTTCTGTCCTGTTTCTGGAGCTGCAAACGAAAATGGAATCTTGGACTAAAAATGTGTAACTTGTGCCTACATCCAACTGGTAACATTTGATATTGATCCTGGATGCAGTGCAACATGTCATTACTGCTCACCTACATTCAATTATTAGGATATTCACCAGCATTTCTTTGCAATATGAAAGAAGATACCAAATAGATGGAATTATTTACCATAATATTCCATCACCACAGGAACAAGGCCACAGTTCCCAGCAATGTAAGCATGCGACGCATCAAGGGAAGCCGCATCCACCTCATCCTTCTGCAAAATAAAACAAAAGTTCATCGTTACACGTATGTGTCTGGTCTCTGAAGTTCAAGGCAATCTTTGGGAGAGATTCTTCTTTCATTTGAAGAGCAACCAACGCTTGAATGAACACTGATAGAAAAGCAAAATACTGCAGATATCAGATATAATGTCATTGAGTCATACGGCACAGAAACAGACCCTTCGACCCAACCAGTCCATGCTGATCATAATCTCGAATTAAAATAGTCCCACCTACCTGCGCTTGGACCATATCCCTCCAAATATTTCTTATTCACATAATTATCCAAATATTTTCTAAATGCTCTGAAATAAATTCTCAGCAAATATGTAACATTTGCCAATAGTAACAGCAGTGACATTTCAGGTCACTGCCCTAGGAGGGCATAGGTTTAAGTGAGAGGGGAAAGATTGGAAAGGGTCCTGAGGGCCAATGTTTTCATGCAGAGGCTAGTTTGTACGTAGAATGGATTGCCAGAGAATATAGCAGATGCAGGCACATTTACAAAATTTAAAAGACATTTGGTCAGGTACATGAAGAGGAAAGGTTTAGAGGGAAATGGGCCAACCTTATGCAAATGGGACTAGTTTCATTTAGGAAACTGGTTGACATGGAAGAGTTGGACCGAAGGGTCTGTTTTTTGTGTTGTATGACTCTACGTTTCCGTAGAAATGGATTTCTGAATGAGGAAGTGGATACTTCAGATCTCTGGGATACACTAAAGGAAGGATTTTTATTTCTGGATGGATGAGTAACATTGGGCCAAATAATTGTCTCTCTATCTATCTTCTCTTCACATGACTATTTTATTTAACAGGTGAATGAATGGTAATATCTGTTATTCTATGTGGAAATGATACACGAAAACACAGGGGCACATTATTTACCACCCACAAGTCAACTATTCACTCCCAAAAGCGATGCTGATTATGGGGTATAATTCTATGGCTACTGCCTTATCTTGGAGTACAGTTATGGATAGCACTGTCCTTTGCTGGGGTACTGTTGTGGATAGCACTGTCCTTTGTTAGGGTACAGTTAAGGACAGCACTGCCCATTGTTGGGGTACAGTTAAGGATGGTAAAGTCTTTTGTTGGGATACAGTTATGGATATCACTGTACTTTGTTGGGTACAGTTATCAATAGCACTGTCCTTTGTTGGGGTACAGTTACGGATAGCACTGTCCTTTGTTGGGGTACAGTTATGGATATCACTGTACTTTGTTGGGTACAGTTATGGATAGCACTGTCCTTTGTTGGGGTACAATTATGGATGGTACTGTCCTTTGTTGGGGTACTGTTGTGGATAGCACTGTCCTTTGTTAAGATACAGTTATGGATATACTTTTTTTGGGGGTACAGTTATGGATAGCACTGTCCTGTGTTAGATACATTTATGAATGATAAAGCTGTTTGTTGGGGTACAGTTATGGATGATAAAGACCTTCGTTGAGGTCTAGTTATGTGGGTGCTGTAATATGTTGAGGTATGGTTGGATAAGAAGCATGTCACCTTGGGGTATATCGATACGGGTCTTGTTATATTTGGCATTTGGGTATGTGGTGCTATCCCATGTGATCGCTTGGTTATGCTGGCATTACCTCATGCGTGTTGACAAACACCCAAATCTACATCTCCTCATCACCTTTCTCAACCCCTCCAATGCTGTTGCATTGTCAGAATGCTTATCTCATACCCAGTCATAGACAGGCTAGCAATTCCTCAGCTGAACATTTTGTTTAGGGCCCAGCGGATGCCATGGTAGCATTTTCTGCTCAGGGAGGTGGTGGAGCTTGGAGACTGAAGGACTTTTCATTCGGGGGCAGAGGTGGTGTTGAAAAGGCTGCTACATGCATCCAATGCTCCACCAATTCCTGCACACCCATCATTCCTAACCTCGAT